AATGATGCAGATTTGTTGGATAACCCTTGGAGGTAGGAAATTAATGAAATAGATGATAATCCATAGCTCCTACATATTTCGTAAATAGATCATCTCTGACTGTTTCAGCTTATAACTATTATTAACTAGATTCAACTAATATCGTTTAATTACTAACTTACCCCTTTGTGAATAATATTTAGTAATTAAGAACTTTGTTGTGATTGTAATAAAACAGTGAAAATGAACTAGCGTCCACTCTGGGACTATTGGATATTATCTTTTATTATTTGGAATGTTTGCGAACATGATTCTAGATAGTAAAAACATTCAGCACTGCGTGTTGAATTTGTGCGTCATTCCTAAAGTATGTGTTGGAAGAAACTTTGTTGTTATTGTGGCCAACGTAAAAAGTTTCTTCGTGAACATGGAGTGTTTTATAACTGGTTTCTTACGTATTTTAAACCGGCATTAAGGAACTAGAACAAAATATTAAATGAAAGCTAAAGCCACTTTAAGATGAAACATCAAAGTGACACCAAACCCATCAATTTAATGAAAGCCGAAGTCACGTTTTGTAAACCTTAATCATTTGTGTTATGTTTTCTTTAAACTTTGCTATTTTTAAATTACGATTATGATCAATAAAAGCACAATTTTTTCCTCTCCTGAAATTATGTTAAACGTTTTAACGAAAGAAAAAACTGAAATTATATACTGTAGGAATCTGTTGAATTACTGTAGACAGTTTTAGGTTCAAACTGCAATGTGAATCTTTGCATAAACTCTGACTTTAGCTTAATAATTGAATTTGACTTTTGTCAGAGAAGAACTGTAGATATCCTATACATGTAATTAGAATTCCGTCTTTTGAAACGATTTAATCCAATATGTTTAAAATGGCATTTACCAGATACTCAACAGTATCTACCGCCAGCTCTGGCGCCACTCTTATCTGACCAAATGGTGCGACTTGACCGTCACTCTTGTATTACACTCAAGAAATATGAACCTTGGACATTCGGATTCGCAATCCTACCACACTAACAACCAGGCCACACCCGGCCAGGTATAGATTTTAATATCCTAATCTCTGGGAGAATAGGTGGAGTTTGAAGTTTAAGTCCAGTTCTGTTAGAAACTCGCATGTGTTTCAAGGCGCGTATTTGTAAATGGCGAGAAGTCTTGCCCATGTTGGTGGTTTTTCAGCTACCACATTTATATTTATATACGACCTTTGAACTTAAGAGTGAAGGTAAAATGTGTTTAGTTCTAAAAAAGCTACTGATACGAAGTGACTATTTAAAGACAATAAGGAGTTTAATATAGTAATATTGTTTTCTAGGATAGTTTTATTGTGCCTTTTTTGACTTTATGTTTGAGGGATACCGTGCAGCTGTCACATGGAATATAGGTATTTCCTCATCAGGATATCACGACCTGAATAGCTTGTTGAGTTGGGTTTTAACAATAAGACTTTGTTTTTAAAGTAAGGAATAACATGTGTTAGAGGGAATTTGGAACATGTTTGGATATTATTCGGTGGTTTGTAATCTATATAGGGACGAGCGTGGTTGGTGGTTAACGTACTGCAGGACCATCATTTGCGTCCTGTAACCACAAAAAAAATTGCGCTTCATAGTTTGGGGCCGTGAGTGCGTTATGAAGATGAGAGGCAAATCCTACTATTTGTTGAGACAAGAGTTGGCGGTGAGTTATGTTGACTAGTTACGTTGTCTATAGTCTGTCAGTTCAAAACTACGGACAGCTAGCTAGCGCAGGTAGCCCTTGAGTACCACTGCACGAATATTCAAAAACAAGCAAAAAACGAAACCTATACCATACAGACAAAGCAGCTAGACGTTTCTCATTCAAGCAGTATATGACCGTGGGATGTCCTATATATATATATAAATATATATATATATATAACATCGACGAGATCACAACTTCCCTTTGATAACTTGTTTAGTTTGTTGGGATGCTCAGCCGAACTTTTTAAACACATTTTAACAAACAGTCTGGCTTTAGCTCGTGATATGAAATCGGGACAGAACATTAAACAAGTCATTTTATTGGAGAGATAAATTTACAACAAGGACTCTTAGTCAGCCAGAAAGAAAACTATAAACAAGCTCCGTAATCTATTTTTCTCGTGTAGACATGTAAATAGACGGAATTCATGTGAACTTGTCTAATGTACTGTTCCCATTTCGCGCTTGCTTTGAAACATTACTAGTGTTAAACGGCCTTACACGTCTAGTACATTGTGACATATAATATCTCGTGTGCAAAATAAGATTGCGCAGTAAAGTAACGGTAGTATCGAAATAGGATAAACGTTTCGTTAAAGTAACGGCAGTGTCAAAGTAGGATTGACGGGTCGTCTATATAAGGATTTGAGTCACCACAAACAATTTTTATTGAATGAATTAATTAATATTTTATAGAGTCTTGCTTGTGGTAAAAGTCGTAGTTGGTTCGTCTGTGTCAAATTCAAGCTTTATCTCTAGGAGTTATTAAATATCAACCGTTATACTGTTAAATATTTCATCGTTGTATCTCCTGGTACCATGGGAATAAGCCTTTTAATAATCACGTCTGCTGCGTTCAAGTCCTGAGAGGAAAACCCTCTCAACTCTTGGATCGACCAAAACAAGCATCTGAAATCGGATGTTTGTTTTTGTTTTTTGTTGTTTCTTTTTCAGTTGTAGGTTCGTTGCATTTAAGTTACTACTGAAATAAAGTGACAAAATTAATCTCATGAAAACATCCTATACACCTATGATTGACCTACGATTAGTCCCAATTCACTATTCATTTGTTCCTTACTTAATACAGAGACATTAGTCCCGAATTTTGGTTTCAACAAACACCTTTTGGAGCCGTAAATGTCATCGTCTATTCGATTTTCGCCAAGATGACTGATGTTGATTGAGATTGAAAGACCACCACGTAATTTTTAATGCCTTTAAGTTTTTATTTACACGTTAGAATTCAATAGATTCCTTTAGAGCCAATATAGGTCAGTGAAAACTTGTTGCATGACACAAACAAGTCTCTCGTCGTGGCGTTTCTACAATTCCTTGTAAACAAGGCGTAGCTCAGATTTTCCTATTTGTTTGTAAACTATTTCCTTGTTCATCCTCTCGGGTTTTTAACCTAAATTCTAAGGATTCTACTAGACCTTATTGGACAATTATAAGGATTAAAAAAGATCACTGTGAATATTTTGACTTGTAAGATCTAATTAACCACATTCTATGACATACAACAGCGTTTAACTATCCCAAATAACTTCCCTGTCTGTGTCTACCACTGTATGTTACATTAACGTTTCGAAGTTGGAGCCAGTCCTTTTACTCTTTCATATATTTATTTGAACATTTTCTTCTCACGGAAAAATTACATGTTTTCTGAAAAAATGTTTAAATCGAGTATTTAAATTGATACATGTATCGACGTTTGTTGGTCTGAAGAAGACATTTGAAAGTGTTGAAACTTGTTTCCATGTAAACTTGATTGTTCATACTTGAATATAGTAGATCTAAGCCTTATTTTAGATTATTTGACACGGTATTGTGCATTTACTTACTATTATTCATTTTCCTTTGAGTATGTACAGAGCCGTTAAAGCACAGAAAAAGGGTTAAGCGCTTTTATATGTATGAATGGGTCTTGATGAATCTGGCGCAAGTGAAGCCTCACTAAGCCCAATGTTGTGATCTTTGTTTATTATCTGTGTTTAAGGTATCTCTGTCGATCCAGAGTACCTTCTCTTTTGAAATAGCATGAAGCAACAAAATAAAAAATAATAATTGGTGTCCATACAAAAGGATAATACCTTGACGTGCTTTAAGTTAAGTTCATCTGCCCGTCATTGGTGTTTGCTGACTTATTTTGCATTGAAAACAAATGAATTGTTTCTAGATGCGTTGTTCTACTACTAAAATGTGACATTCTTCCGTTTTACTGCACCTTTAGGAGAATATCTAAGATGGCTGCTTGTATTGCATAACTCATTGCACCATCAGGGAATAAGAGGTCAAAAATCAAAATAACGAAAACAATGGCTAATAAGGTTAAAGCTCATGTGAAAGTCAAATACTTCTATTCTTCAGTCATTACTAATGTTATGATTCTCTTGCCAACTTAAATTATAACATATAAAGCAAATTCTTTGAAAAGCGAGTTATTCTGTTAAATATAAACATAATTGTATCTTCTCAACACAAGCTCTGGTAGGTCCAATGGTACAGTTATGAATTTCAAAGCTAGCGAACTGGCTTCGAACTCGTGAGATATTGCTAAACATTTCCCGTAACTTTAGTGTGGAATGCGTTATAAGAGTGACATTCACTCCCTTAGGATGCTGCTGATTGGTTACTTTTTATTTGGTCAGCAGTTAAAAAATTAGGGACGACGGCAACTAATCTCAGTAGCTTCGTCTGGAATAGAAATACCTACGATTATTTAAAAAAATATGTTAAAATGTTCGAGAACTTTAAATATACAGGAAAATGATGATGATGACATTTGCTGTTATGTTAAACTTATATTAAAGTTTTTCTTCATTACCCATTCAAGTCATCTCCAACCATTATTAGTCTCAAAGTGGGTTCCTCGTCATCGAATTTGTTTTTAAGTAATTTACTTTTTTTGGTCTGTTTAATAAGTACTATGGATTCTTATAAGAAATTTCAATCGAGATTTAATTTCAAGTATTAACCATAACATGAATTACATAAGCATTTTTTAAATACTTGTCGGTATAGTTCGAAGTTAATCGCCAACTCCTACCTCTTGGCTTTTGTAAATCGTCTTACAAAAATGTTTATGCAGTAAAGTCTATATAAAGTCTATATATTTTGTTCTTTTAACGAGCATGTATTATGTACTTTCATCATAATTAAACATGATAAACATTTTAATGAATGGATTGATTACTGTTGTTTTTATAGAGTACAATACATGTGTAGTTTTATTTTCTGAGCTGGATGTTTATACCAGACAACATTTAGAACAGTCAGTAAATGTATTTTAATCTTCGTGTATTTTGAGACCACTACTATCGATATCGTCAGATGTTCGTTTACCAAGTCCTCCGAAGGCAGCTCTGTCGATTTCGTCAAAAGTTCTTTTATCGAGTCCTTCAAAAGCAGCTCTATCGATTTCGTCAAAAGTTCTTTTATCGAGTCCTTCAAAAGCAGCTCTATCGATTTCGTCAAAAGTTCTTTTATGGAGTCCTCCTAAAGCAGCTCTATCGATTTCGTAAAAAGTTCTTTTATCGAGTCCTCCAGAATCAGTTCTATCAATTTCGTCGAATGTTTTCTTTCTAAGTTTTCCGATCCCTGTCCTAGTGACTTCATACAGATAACTTTTAGGCCAACGTGCAGATAAAATTTTTCCGGTAATGACTGATTCCACGTTTCCCGAGACTGCAGGATCCCTGTATTCCAGTTTTTCTAAAAATTCCTGGTTCCTATCACCATTTTCCTAAAGTGAACAAAAAGAGTTGATTCTATAACTAAATACGAAAAGTTTAGACAATTTATTTTAAATTTTAATTTGTGACGAAGCAGTGAATCGGGTTAATACTATTAAAATACCTGATGAAAGTGTGAAAAAAATCTAAGTAATGTGTACACCTTTAAGCTACATAACACACATAAATATTCGAACGTTTTTTATGTGGATCTGTGGCTTAATAACCGAGAATTTTTATATTGAAGAATCTTTAAATATAAAATGTTATACCAATGTCTATCAAAATAGAAATTAATTTTTTTTTATGTTTTTGGAAATTGTAAATAGTAATTCCAAATAAAATTACATACAAATGTTAAGCAAAACTATAAGTTTATAATGTTAGGAAAACTTACTCTTTTTTATTCATGAAAGTTTGTTTGGCCTTCTCACAACATGAGTTACTGTAAATAACATGATGAGTGAATGAACTTTGAAATGCTTTTTAATCAACATAGTTTGTATCAGATAATGACATGAAGCAGAAAGCTATAAGATCAGCCAAACATGAAAACTTCAAGTACATAGGGCCGGTATGGCCAGGTGGTTAGGGCGCTTGACTCCCAATCTGAGGGCCACGGCTTCGAATCCCCTTCCCACCAAACATGCTCACTTTTTCAGGCGTGGGGGCGTTATAAAGTGACGGTCAATCCCACTATTCGTTGGTAAAAGAGTAGCCCAAGCGTTGGCGGTGGGTGGTGATGACTAGCTGCCTTCCCTCTAGTCTTACACTACTAGATTAGTGACGGCTAGCGCAAGTAGCCCTCTTGTAGCTTTGCGCGAAATTCATAACAAACAAACAATCAAGTACATAATTTAGGGTTTTCAGAAAATATAGCATTAGATATCCGCATACTTTGTCAGTCGTTTTCAACTTCTTGGTCACAACGTTTTATGCCCATCTTTCTAAATGCACTGAAATATAACTTACGTTATTTAGGAGTTGACCAACAAAGATATTTACTCTAGATACGTGGGCCAAGCACAGTTCAGTGGTTATAGTGCCGGAATGTGAATCTGAGGTTCCGTGGTTCGCGTTCCGCACTTTGGGGCTGTAAGTGAATTATAAGAGTGACGGTCAAATCCAACTATTCGGTCTAACAAGAGTTGACGGTGGGTAATGTTAATTAGCTGCCTTACCTCTAGTCTATCACTTCAAAATTAAGTACTGTTAGCGAAATTCAACAACCATACAAATAAATCTGTAGACTTATTTCTAAAGCTACATAGGTTTTAGGGTTAAACAAAGCAAACAGTGGATTTCGATGAACATTTGAAAGAAGATAATGTTTTTTTATGCTTATTTGATATAGTTTGTCGTTCATTATAGTTTTATCAATTAATAAAAGACAGTTTATGACGTTAGTTATAATTATTTTATGTTCTATCAGTAGATGTACACAACAACAATATTCAGATTCAGTTAAATCTAAAAACAGCAAATGTTTGATGTGAAGTATTGATTTATGTTCCGTTCAATCTACAACTCTACCTCCAAGGACGTATGATTGTATCCCACTGGTTTTAAATCACTTATATTTATTCCATTACAGAGCTAAACTGAATTTCTTTACTTCGTCAATAATATAGATCAAAATTGTGAAATGGAAAATTAAACGTCCGAGTTCATATTAGGCAATAAAACCCATGATTTAGAATTGCAGGTTTCTCAGTTTCGGGCAAAGTCAGTAACAAGGTTGGCCCTAGAGAAACTTTGTTTAGCTTAAATCTGTCTAAAGAAACTACATTAAATCATTTGTTCTTTAATGTGAAGTATTTGTTCTAATTCCTGTTAGTACGTGTAGAATTAAGACGTTTTTCCGGTGGGACAGTGGTAAGTTTACAGAGTTACAACGCTAACATCCGAGGTTCGATTACCCGTGGTGGACACTGGACTCAGCAGAAAGCTTAATGTGGCTTTCATCTTAAACAAACAAACCTAACGAATAAAGTGATACTTCCTATATCATGGTTATTCCAACAGTCGTCTGACGAATTCCGTTTAGACTTGAGCCTTGACAACAATTTATTGGAAGACTGATATAACTGTACAATTTGTTTATAAAACTCACTAATATATATATATATATATATAATTTTCAATCACGTAGATTTGCATATTTTGGTTGAAGACGCTGTATTCTGTATTGGTTTGTCTAGACATTTCGCTCAAAGATGTACAAGCCCGTAACCGTCTGCAATTTTTAACCGATAGTCTAGAGGCAGCTAATCAACATCATACACCGCCAACTCATGGGTTTCTCTTCTCCGACCGAATAATTGGATTTCATCGTTACTTTTGTAGCACACCCACAGTATCGAAGTGCAAAGCGCGTTTTATTGTGGCAGCGGGCGACAAACCATGATCCTTCGGATTCACAGTCTGGTTACGCTAACCACTACGTTACGCTCTGCCCGAAGTCGCTGTAAAAGAAAAAGAACTACACATATAGACAACGGTAACAACGAAAGAATTTTTGACCTGAACGTTGATCACATTTGTTTTCTCTTTTCTTTAAAGTGACTGACTTTTTTTTTGTATTATAACATGTTATCACACTCTATCTGCTGCGCATACATTTTTCGAACTTAAGAATTGTGACTTACGATTCAGTGTGTTCTGATCACTTGCCTACTACTGGAAATAAATAATATTTTGTTAACAACCTCTATGTAAGTACAGTACGTGTCTAAGACGGCTGTCAGCTTTGATGGGAGAATAATATTAGTGCATAAACAACATTTTATCTAAATAAAAAGCTAGAAGCTTCGAAGCTTGGATAAGTGTATAAGAGCAATTTTCAAGTATGGATTTTTTCCCTTTATTGATTTTAAATATAAAAGATATATATATTACAGTATTTTGAGACTATGTTATAAAGGTTACCTGGGATAAGCGCTTCCCCGTCATGTTCGGAAAGGCTACTGCAAGTAACAGAAACGAAAACGCCGTTATTTGTGTCATGTTGCGGTCAGTTTATTTAAACTGCTTTCAGTTCTCACGAAGAATGTATTTCTCTGCTCATCTATACAATATATATATATATATATATATACAAACACACACGTAGAGTATACAGCAGTATAGCTGTAACCTTATCTTGTGCTGTGAACGTAAAGTGCAGAGCCAATGAAAGTCCTTTTCCGTAATGATTAGCACTTGTACTCAACCAATCATCAAAGTTCTATTGCATGTTTTAACAGTGTTGCATCTCGGAGTTTCAGGTATATTTTAGTCCTATTGAACATGTCATTTTGTGATGGACTTGTTCGATAAAATAACTACCTAACTGATAAGCTTGAAGGAGTTATCGAACAAGCATCGTCTACTCTGGCGATAAAAGTAATCTCTTATTATTAATTGATAATGTGTTTGGTTGTTCATAACAACTGTTCAATCACTAATGGGTAAAACAACGCAAGTTTAAACGTTTAACGAGGTTAGAAGACCCCCCCCCCCTCTCAACCACATTTAGCCACCAGCTGCTTAAGTTAAATACAAAAGTAGTACCATATATTTACATAGTATATCATAATTATAAAGTTATTTCTATTTTACCCGGTGACATAGAATTAGAAAAATGGTTACTTTTAAATCATGCCTAACGAACAGAAAATTCAGCCTAACTGTTCAACTTAGGTCATCACTTTTCTATGCTTATAAATAGGTTTAACTTTCTCCAATCAATGATTATTCAGTTATATATATATATATATATATTCACAGTAATAAATGGATAAATACAGTGCCAAGGTATTCAAAACTATTCCAACTGCACTAAAAACAGAGTGGACTAAGTCACTTAAACATTTACAAAGTTTGTTAATAAAAATATTCTATTTAGTTTTCGTCTCAAATTCTAAAGTTTAAAAGCTAGTATATGAACTAAATCCTACAACTAAGTAATATACATAATATGTATATCTCGCGTTACTAGTTTAACTGAGATGTCATGTTAAGTTAGTTTAAAACTCACTTTGATTGAAGTGATTACAAACGTTTGCTGTATGTTAGTAACAAAAGCAAGAAATACTTTTTTGTCGGCAAACTAAAAGAGAAATTGAATACATAAACTAACCGTTAGCCCATTTTTTCAAACCCATGTTAATTTGAAAACCAACAACAAAAACAAGCTTGTGTATATATATATATATATATATATGTATACTGCATAAACTAAACA